GTCAGTGACCTTATATATCGTGGTGTTGTACGCCTTAGAATATAAATTTGTGAATTATCCTGTCCTTATCGTTGGTGATGTTAATTTGCCTGAATATATTAAGGCACCATCAAATGTGGAGAAACGTGATTATTTTTGTGACTTTCTTATCATGTATTAAACAAACGTCTATTGGATTTGGTTTTGACAAGTACTGGTCATTGGTTTGATCTTGTTCATGATGATTCCCTCGTCTACTAGAATCAGTACCATCGCACTTTAGATATTACAATGGTGGCAAATTATAGTTTGCCGAACTTACCGTCTTTGGGTGGTCGCTATAATTTTCGAAGAGCCAACTGTCCTGGCTTGTACGACGAACTACTTTATACGAATTGGTCTTTTCTAAATGTGTAGGTTAATGCGGATGATGGTTTGCGAGCTTTCAATACAAAGTTGAATGAGATTTATTATTTATTAGTTCCTAAGAGATTATGTCGTAGATCCTCATACCCTATTTGGAACACCCCAGAAATTAAGCAGCTATTACATTACATTACATTACATAGAATACATATCGGGTATTCTACTATCGGTACCCCGATAGATATCGTTATCAAATTTCACCGTGCAGTCCAATGCTCTTAACGAACATTAATACCTTGCTCGGCGAAAGGTCATTCAGATCTTTTGAGGAGATAAACTGCGACCCAAAAATCGAGAATCTGATACGGTTAACGGCAGGGCAGTGGCATAAAACATGCTCAACCGTCTCTGCTTCCTCCGCACATAGTCGGCATTCAACATCGTCGGCTAAACCCAACAAGTTGAGGTGTGCTTTTAATCGGCAGTGCCCAGTAAAAACACCCATTAGAACTTTTATGCTACTACGGGCAAGTCCTAAAATATTCCCGGGTTTGACAGTGGCGATGTTAATAAACACCTTAGCATGTCTCATTCCAGGAGAACTGGTCCACAGTAGGCGAAGTCTCTCTTCAGCCCACAGTCCAATCCTATATTTGGCCATCGCAAATGATACACCAACTGCTGGTTCCGGTCCCACAAACGCTTCAGCGCTGCCATCTCGTGCTAGCTTATCTGCCGCTTCATTGCCAGCAACCCCAGAGTGACCCGGGACCCAGATCAGAGAGACTCTGTTATCACAACTCAGTGTGTTTAATGTTCTCTTACAATCATTAACCAGAGCCGACACCGTTTTCACGGCTTGCAGCGCCTGGAGAGCGGCTTGACTGTCTGAGAAAATTCGTACTGTCATGTTCTTCACCCCTCTTTCAAGAAGGATTTTAGCACCCATGTCAATAGCAAATACTTCCGCCTGGAATACAGTACAGTACGTACCCAGGCTGTAGGCTTGCTTAATTCGAGGTGTCTGGCAGTATACTCCTGCTCCTACCCCTTCAGGCGTTTTTGATCCATCTGTGTACAAGCAAATGTCTGCCCGAACCAGAGAATTTTCATTTTCGATCCAGGACTGCCGCTCAGGCAGTACAATCTGGTATCGAGCATTAATCACTGATAGTGATACCGCCAAATCTGACGGCATTGATAGCACAGTATCAGTGCTTATAATGTCTTCCGCAGCCCATTGGTAGGACATGTCGGAACAGTTTTGAGCATATTGCTTAAATCTGTAAATGGTTGTTCTAGCCACTTTCTCTATATGCAAATGCAGAGGAGATAGGCCAAGCAGAACCTCCATTGCTAGAGTTGGCGTTGTGCCTATCGCACCAGAGATTGCCAATCCAGCTACTCGTTGAATTCGTGAAAGTTTACTGATAACTGAAGTCTGTCGGACTTTCCTATACCAGGCTGCTGCTCCGTATGTGATCATAGGTCTAACCACAGTCACATAGAGCCAGTACAGTCTTTCAGGGGTAAGACCCCAATTTTTTCCACAAAGACTGCGACAAGTCCACAAGGATAGTCTAGCTTTGTGCAAAACTCCCTGCAAATGTCCATTCCATGACAGGGTTTTGTCTAGGATTACTCCTAGATATTTGACTTCCTTTGAGAAAGGAATTTCTTCACCTTGGATAGTTGGGCGGCTATTAAAGTTGATAGAGTATTATGGGAAGAAGTGGAGGAGAAGCAAAAGTGCAAAATTGGAGGAAGTGATGGTCATGGTAACATCAATAACCCATACTTTAGAAGCTCTGCAGGTATATAACTACCATTTACAACCTTAGGCGTGAATGTATACATCAATAATGACATCACCCACATATTGATATATGAAAGGAATATCAAAACTTAAATACTGCAATATCTATCTCGCCTATCTCGGATTTAGAACACCTATTTTATATGATATGCGAAAGGTTCTCGCTCAAAACCCGTTTTCTCTTTCATTCTTGAAGAATGACCAAATGAAACGAAACTTTTTATCCCCTTATTGAATGATGTTTGAGTATTAATGAAGTCATACATTAACATATTATAAAGCTAGCACAAGATGACCTGTGGCATTCGGAAGGGAATATCGGATTAAATCGTATAATTATCAATTATAAAATATTGGAAGTTATAAAATATCAAATACACCAAATACCAAAACCCAAAAAATCTTTTATTGGGTAATAAGCGATAATTAAATTTATACGTGAATAACCGCAACTCTATAGTAGCAATGTAAATTACACGTCATTTCACTTTTTGGCCAATTTCCCAATATAAATTACTTATGCATTTTCGAAATATCGGGATAAAACAAATTTATGCAGCGGCGGTGAAATTTAACACGAATCCCGTTCCATTCTATTAAATCTATAATGTGATACATCAAACATTGGTACTAACCGTAGAAAAACTATTTTAAATATATCCTCAAAACGCACGAAAATGGAACATCAATTAACAGACGCCTACAAACAGAAATGTTTAATTAAGGATAAAGTATGGTTCATTTCTATTTGCTTGATCGGAATCCGTGAATAGCGTTATCGATCAATGGAAGCATTCTTCCTGCGGAATTACGTGAAATAAATTTATGACATCGATGCGCTACAAATTGCATCGTTGTTGTCGTTTTCATGGGCACTTAGCGCCGGTTTATAGTCACTCCTAACCCTTTATTGCAATGTTACGTTCTCGCATCGATATTTAATATCACTCATAAGTTGGTATTAGACTACAATGAAATGAAATTAATTTATTATTAATTTAATTTAAATTAGTATCGTTTTATAAAAAGAGAAATTTTATATATTTTATTTCAAAGTAGAGATTTGATATGACCCCTATTTGAATAACGCATAAATTGGAACTCGTGGGGTTTGGATAACACATTAATCTCGAGAGAGTAGGAACAGATATCGAAGGAGGTTGTGGAACTAGCTCCCTCTCGTGTCGTGATTGCGCTGCGTTCTCGCGTTTCCTAATCGCACGAGTCTGAAGATAAAGGTTATCTCGGGGTTACCAACGAAGAGAATGACGTCATTAATGGACCGCTCCTCGCAGTTTTTTTTGCGCGGTTATGAGGTGCGATATGATTTATTTCTTTTTCCCGGCGAATAGGTTGAGATTGAGGACGAAGATTGTAATAAGTACGGAAAAGAATGCTTATCGAGAATAAAAAATATCTGGTTGAAAAGTTATTGATATTAAAAAGAAAGGGAGTTCAAAAACAAGGCGAAATAATTTGAATTTGAAAATATCCAACCAAAACTCTTTCTCTTTTATTCACGCCAGAATATAAAATTTCATATCGTCCATTTATTTCACGCTTCTTTATATTTCGGAATTAAATTGCTCTCCAGTACGTTGTTATTCAAGCATTTTTCATCGATTTGCTTTACCTGTTTCTGTGTATGCGCGTAGCCAAACCTATAATAGTTCATGTAGTCGAGAAATTTTTTTTAAATAAATGTAATTTGATTTCTTAACTTATACAGGTGTCCCGTTATGCGTACGGAGCGGCTGTATATCTAGAACGGTAAGGCCTAGAGGTTTGGGAAAAAAATCCTTATTTATAAGCAAAGTGACCAAGAGAAATAGCTGGAAATTATTTTGTAGTTCGTAATTCGACCGAGAGAAACATAAAATTCCCGCTATCTCAGAAAGTTAGACGATGAGCTATAACTTTGACAACATCATTTATGGTCCGTTCCTCCCNGTTTTTTTGTTTGTTGTGACTATTTCATGAATTAAATGTGTTTTTGTTCTTATCTAGTTATTTTTATTTCAAATTTTCACTTATTTCAGACTCTTTAGTGTTGCCATTATGAATTTGATGTCTTAGGTAATAGCTACTGGACTACCTTCTCGACTTATAATTTTTGAATACATTTTCGTGTAATAAGGGTCTAAGCCACACTATTTTGACATAAATTAAATTTTGTCATTGAAAGCGCTGTTTTTCAAAAAAAATCTTCAGTTTTCATCGAAGAGAAATAAGCAAGTTTCAAATAGTAAATGTTATAGAATTTTTATCTTACTTCTTATTATTTCACGATTTAATTACAAATTAAAATGTTGATTTTCTCAAAAAGTTAGTTGTGTGGCATGTACCGTTGTTGCTCTAACGTCTTCAACTACTTCATTTTTGTATTCATATTTTGCAAAACAAATTAGTTGTGCAACATTTTGGCAATCCGTAGATTCATCCAATTGAAGACTAAAAAATTTACTTTTTCGAATTCTCATTATAATTTCGTTTTCCACATTTTCTGCCATTTCAAATATTCTGCGGCTAACTGTTGTATCCGAGAGTGGTATTTGAGATATTGGTTGCATTTCCTTTTCGCCAAACATAATGGCTGCTATATCTTGGGCTGCTGGAGCAATTAAGTCTTCAGCAATTGTGTACGGTTTGCCAGATTTTGCTATACGATAGCTCATTATTTCATCCACCTTGCGACCCCGAAAAAACTTTTCGCGACCCATAGTTTAAATACCACTGCATTATACCTTTAAAATATCTGGTAACAAACAGATTGGATTAGATTCACACTTTAATTCTTTCATTAAAATGACTTCAAGGTATTGAAATAAATACTCATAACTCCCTTTGCTTGAATCTTTGTTGAAGATTATTAATAACTACTTCTACTTGGGCTAATTAATTACTGAAACATAGTATTTATTTAAATTTATCAATACAAAAAAAAACATTCTAAACATAACCTATTACAATCATATCTTATTTATTTTAATTCTGTTGACAAGCTCTTACAGCAATTAATTGCAACAAAATAAAAACGGGAGCGAAAACTTCCGAATAATCCAAATGTATTTGTCCCAATAACTTTTTATACAACAATAATTTAAAAGTAAACGTCATCGAAAGAAACGTAGCGGACCAACACATCCTTAACATCGCCAGTTTAATAGCCGCCTCTAATTGCATCCGTATAAAAACGATGACACAAAAATAAGCATTAAACGCATCCCCCGCAAACAAAGGGAAAAAAATCATCCACCAATTATTGCTGTAAATGTCCGCAGTTGGATCGTATTTTAACGCAAACACCACAGTGAAAGCTAAAATTGATATTAAGTTGACCCAGATTTCAAAAACCGTCAAACCCAACCAACGAACGATTTCGTCCAAGGTAAAATACATTTTGAAGTTATTAAGATTGTTGTGCGGATAACTCTGGGGGGTTTTTATGTATTAAACGTATTCTTAAAGCGGAATTGTTACGTTTTTGAATCTCGTAATCAACATCGTCCGCCGCTGGTTCTAAATCGTCTATTATTTCGGTGGTTAAAGTGTTAACAGAAACATCGTAGGATAAAAAATAATCACTTAACTGGAGTGCTAAAACTATTCCACGTTGATTTGCCGCCCCCAATGAATAAATTACAATTTCTTTTTCATTGGATCTCATCAATTTTTCACATTTTGATTTGATTGCCTTAAAATAAATTAATTAATAGAATAGATAACCTCAAAAAAATTATTTGGGTAACATAACCTCACTTTTTTTTTCTTTTTACTTACATTAATGTTGGATTTTGTGTTTACATAAATTACGTTTTCGGCTAATTCGGGTTTATCCAAAAACTGCCTTTTCTTAAAATTATGATTAGGACGTTCAAATTTCTTTTTTTGATTTTTTTCACCACCGTTTCTACTATTTCCTGCGTCGTCGTACTATAAAACGTCGTACTAAAAATTGAACGCATGTGGCGCCATCTGTTGAGGATATTTTGAAATTATTCAACTAAGAATCGAACCACTAGAATACAGGTGGATTGAGTTTATATTATATAAAAGCTCCAACCACAGAATAACTGTTTGGAAAGTAGGTTTCAACCACTATGTGGCTCCAATTAACGGTCCAACTGGTTGAGAATTCCTCAGATGCAATTACACCTGTCAAATAATTCCGCAACATTTGAATATCACTGCATCATATGACATGTGAGATTGCATCTGACGAGCTCCCAACCAGTTATAACGTTAGCTGAAACAATGCTACAATGCCAATTATAATCTAATTATTTAATCATACCATTATTGCTTTATTATACTCTTACCGAAAAATCACTTTAAAATGACGTTTTCAGCTGTCATTCTGAACAAACTTCAACTTTATAATTTTAAAAGTTGAAGTTAGCAGCAAATTTAAAAATATAAAACGAATTGGAATCTATACTTTTTAAATTATAAGAACGATACTGGCAATAATTGTTATTGCTCTCATCATTCCCACTATTAATAATAAAATTGTTAGTTTAATTAAATTATTTCAGTATAGACGCTAATGCCATCTTACGGTGGGATTGCGACACACAATCAGTCCCAAGTTCTTCTATCAAAGATCCCTGGGGTGAGGTAGGAAACGTGACGTCATTGGAGGAAAAGTATAATATAGTATACAGGTGTTCATTATGTATGAAATATAGTATATATCTTGGTATCAACTTTATAAAAAAACATTTTTTATATAAATATTCTTTCAAATGAGTACAAACACGACATATTTATCTTCAATATTAATGAAGCAGGGTGGCCAGGTTACACGCATGTCGTGAGCCATGTCATAAAAATATCGTGAGATGTTGAAACTTGTTTAAAAATCACTCAATTTTAATCATATGTGTTACATATAGACATAGGGTTCAAGTAAAATAGTTTAGACAACGTTTGTATATAAAAGTGATATAATTAAAAGGAAATAAAACATTACAGTTTAAGTAGTTTCTTAGCGCTATCTAGCGGTGAATACATGTAATAGAGATATTTACAGTAACCTACAATTCGAGTTGAAAATGCTATGATTTTACTTTGATTTTATTAATACTAATTATTATATTATTTTTGTAATAAAATCGTGAGAAGTACATGTCAAATCGTGAGATCGTGAGATCGTGAGATTAAAGGTAATATGATGAAACCTGGCAACCGTGTAATGAAGTTATGGTCAACTTCCGGTTAGAAATGTCAACGTCAATTTTGACAAATTCATGAAAAAACATAATAAATACACAAATACAATTAAAAAAAATTAAGATTGGTGTTAATATTTAATAATTAAATTGCTGTCTTCATTGTTGCTAACTTCGGGTTTAACGTTTTTTTATTCAAACTTTTTTGTTTTTTGAGATAAGTGCATCCTGTTTGGACTCATTTTGAAGGTTTTTTTAATAAAGAATACATCATGAAAAAATACCATGAAGTTGTCCATTTGTCTATTATGTGATAACTAACTTCAGATTTAAAATGTCAACCTCAATTTTCACATATTTGTAATCTTCAATAAAAATCCTTTAAAATGAGTACAAACACGACATATTTATCTTCAATATTAATGAAGTTATGGTCAACTTCCGGTTAGAAATGTCAACCTCAATTTTGACATATTTGTAATCTTCATTAAAAATCCTTTAAAATGAGTACAAACACGACATATTTATCTTCAATATTAATGAAGTTATGGTCAACTTCCGGTTAGAAATGTCAACGTCAATTTTAACGTATTTGTAATTGTCGCGAAAAATCCTTTAAAATAAGCCCAAACATGATACGTTTAATTCCAATATTAGTCAAGATATAAGCAACTTCCGGTTTGAAATGTCAATGTCATTTTGATAAATTCTTAATTTTTATAAAATGTCTTAAAATTTATCACAAAAACAAATATACAATAAAAAAGAATTAAAAATTAAGGTTGGTATTAATATTTAATAATTGAATTGTTATCTTCATTGTTGCCAACTTAGGGTTTAACGTTTTTTTATTCAAACTTTTTTGTTTTTTGAGATAAGTGTGTCATGTTTGGACTCATTTTAAAGATTATTTTTAATAAAGAATACATTATGAAAGAACACCATGAAGTTGTCCATTTGTCTATTATATGATAACTAACTTCAGATTTAAAATGTCAACCTCAATTTTGACATATTTGTAATCTTCAATAAAAATCCTTTAAAATGAGTACAAACACGACATATTTATCTTCAATATTAATGAAGTTATGGTCAACTTCCGGTTAAGAATGTCAACGTCAATTTTGACATATTTGTAATCGTCGTGAAAAATCCTTTAAAATGAGTCCAAACATGATACGTTTAATTCCAATATTACTCGAGATATAAGCAACTTCCGGTTTGAAATGTCAATGTCATTTTGACATATTCTTAATTTTTATAAAATGTCTTAATATTTGTCACAAAAACAAAAATATAATAAAAAAAAATCAAAAATTAAGGTTGGTATTAATATTTAAAAATTAAATTGCTATCTTCATTGTTGCTAACTTCGGGTTTAATGTTTTTTATTCTAACTTTTTTGTTTTTTGAGATAAGTGCGTCATGTTTGGACTCATTTTAAAAGTTTTTTTAATAAAGAATACATCATGAAAGAACACCATGAAGTTGTCCATTTGTCTATTATATGATAACTAACTTCAGATTTAAAATGTCAACCTCAATTTTGACATATTTGTAATCTTCAATAAAAATCCTTTAAAATGAGTACAACCACGACATATTTATCTTCAATATTAATGAAGTTATGGTCAACTTCCGGTTAGAAATGTCAACGTCAATTTTGACATATTTGTAATTGTCGTGAAAAATCCTTTAAAATGTGACCAAACATGATACGTTTAATTCCAATATTAGTCGGGATATAAGCAACTTCCGGTTTGAAATGTCAATGTCATTTTGACAAATTCTTAATTTTTATAAAATGTCTTTAAATTTAAAACAAAAATACAATAAAAAAGAATTAAAAATTAAGGTTGGTATTAATATTTAATAATTGAACTGGTATCTTCATTGTTGCCAACTTAGGGTTTAACGTTTTCTTATTCAAACTTTTTTGTTTTTTGAGATAAATGCGTCATGTTTTGACTCATGTTAAAGGTTTTTTAATGAAGATGACAAATATGTCAAAATTGACGTTGACGTTTCAAACCGGAAGTGATTGTATTTCCATTAATATTAGTTATAGTTCGAACTTTTTGGTTTTTTGAGATAAATTAAAGTTGATATTGACAATTGAAAGTTTTTTTCACGACTAAACCCGACTGTTTCTAGTTCTAGGTCTTGTGTTAGTTTTAGTGATAGTGTTAGTGTAAAACTAGAACTAACACTAGACCTAGAACTAGAAATATTGGGGTTTAGCCGTGCGTCTTCAGATTTTTCTAAGTTCTTGTCTAAGACGCCCGGCTAAACCTAAAACTTTCTAGTTCTAGTGTTAGTTATAGTTTTAATTGTTATTTAACCCTAAATTCTTGTACATTTTAATTGATCTAAAAAAAATTTTTTTTTGATTTAATCCACTTACCTTGCTTATAATTTCGTCCATTTACCCATTTTGAATTAAATACAACCTTTAAATCCAATTAATTATGTGTTTTTCACTAAAAATAACTTAAATTCAACGTCAATTTTGACAAGCACCTGCTTGTCACTTATTTGGATCTTAATCACCATGGTAACCGAGTCAAGTTGGATAACCTAACAATAATAAAATTGTAACCGTTAATATTTCGCTTTATATTTTAATTTTTTTTTTATTTTATATCTTTTTTTTAAATATTTTTGTGTATTCCTTCTTAAGTGAAATACACTGTATAAATAAAAACATAGAAATGTCAATTCTTCCAATGACGTCACAACAAGGCTTTTGCGGGGGATGTTGCATTTTTAATAAATGAACTAACTTTTTAACATTAATTTAATCAAAATTTTGTTTTAATAACTTTTAAATCATTATAAAACAATATTAATTAATTTTAGATAATTAATTCGATTAATTAAACAATTTATATTGATTTCGTTACTAGATGGCGCCACAAAAACAACGTCAAAGTAAAAAATTTTTTTTTAGGTTAAAGTCTTGTCATAAAAAAAAAATAAATTGCGTTATATTAAATACTTAATTATTTATGGCGTGGATTTTAGACACCCCTTTAACATGTATTCAACGTTTTTGTGTAAACATAATAAAATCGGGTCAAGTTCCCCGTCATATTGCGTTTATAATGGATGGAAATCGTCGATACGCCACGAAAAATCATATTAAAAAAGTAGCTGGACATAAAAGTGGGTTTGATAAATTAGCAGAAACATTAAAATGGTGTTTTGAACTAGGAATCGAAGAGGTAACCGTTTATGCGTTTAGCATAGAAAATTTTAAACGTAGCCAAGAAGAGGTTGAAGGTTTAATGGAGTTGGCGAAAGAGAAGTTTCGAAATCTTTTAGAAGAGGGTGATAAATTAAAAGAAGAGGGTGTTTGTGTAAGGGTTATTGGAAATTTAAGCTTAATACCTGAAGATATTCGTAGAGACATAGCGAAAGCGATGATTATGACTCGAAATAATAAGAAGTTATTTTTAAATGTTGGATTTGCTTATACTTCGAAGGACGAAATTTGCAGTTCAATTAAAACGATTATAAATGGAGTTAAAAATGATGAGATTTCAATTGATGACATCGATGAGAAATTAATCAGTGATTGTTTGTACACGAATCATTCCAAAGAACCTGATATATTAATTAGAACATCTGGGGAAGTTCGATTCAGTGATTTCTTGCTGTGGCAAAGTTGGAATTCTTTGATTTATTTCACTGATATTTTATGGCCAGAGTTTAGTATATGGCATTTATTAGGAGCTGTTTTTCAGTATCAGAGGCAATCTAGGAATTCAGAATGTTTAAATAAAGATTATAATGAATGTAATGAAAAGGTTAAGAACTTTCTTGATAATGTTGATGAGAAAAGGTGGGCGCAATTAGAGTTATATGCTAAGAATTAGATTGGAAATAAATTTTTTAGGTTAGTTTTAAAAATGTTTTATTTATTTCCTTTAAATAAAATTAATGATTTTATCTTAGCCTTGATTGCTCCTAATGGGGCTCAGTTACTTTATATAAAGCCCAATTAATCAGGAAAATTTCTGTAGCAGGGTCGAGGTAGGTCTGCAGGGTAGGCAACTAAATATGCATATGTATAATACAAGCTGTAACTTGTAAGTGTAGTCAATAAAGAAATCTCCCAATGTAATCCACATATAGACATCAAGGCAAACAGATCAATATATCGCAATAGGCGATATCTTCCAAGAGACCCAACTGGTAACAGTGTATATGTAATTTTAAATAAATAATTATGACTACCAAAAAAGTAATACTAAATGATGTGCTAATAAAACTGAACGAATGAGCATATTTGAGTTATGTAACGAAATTTAGAAGATTTGCAAAGAAATATGGGTTCAAATGGACAAGCAGTAGTCCTGAATACCAACAAGCTAATGGTCAGGCCGAAAGTGCATTAGTCAAACTAATTAAGAAAATACTTAAGACGAACGACGACATATACAAAGCATTGTCATAGGCTTACACACCAAAATTAATGACTTAGAAGTTTTAACAAGTGAATATGACTGGAACGTATTACGCTTAAGTGAGCATTGGGCATCGGAAAACAGAGTGACAAGTTTGAATATCCAAGGCCCAGAGGCGGCGTGTTAATATACGTAAGATCAAATATAATAAACTTAAAACCAATCAAAATGCTTTCTATAGATGGTATCATAGAATGCTCCGCTACAATTATTAAGTTTGCAAATACAAAAATCAACATCATGGCCGTTTACAGACCCGCAGGAGGTGATAAAACCTTATTTCTTGAAAAATTAAGTGAGGGTCTGGATATCGTGTCCAGAAATTCGAACAATATAATCTTCTGTGGCAATCTTAACATTGATGGCCTATCACGATCGACACACTCAATAGCGCTTTATGACATATTGGACTCCTTCAATCTTGGAAATGAACTGCCACTAGAATACAAACATTTCCAAATGGTCATATATCAGCGACATGCATTGACTACATGGTAACTAACATTGAGGATATTGACACCAAATCCAAGATACTGGATCTTGGTATATCGGACCACACAGCGTAAATATTAACTATACACTATAATACCGAAATCATACGGAGCAGCAGCCTGGTATAGGAAAGTCCGACAGACTTCAGTTATCAGTAAACTTTCACGAATTCAACGAGTAGCTGGATTGGCAATCTCTGGTGCGATAGGCACAACGCCAACTCTAGCAATGGAGGTTCTGCTTGGCCTATCTCCTCTGCATTTGCATATAGAGAAAGTGGCTAGAACAACCATTTACAGATTTAAGCAATATGCTCAAAACTGTTCCGACATGTCCTACCAATGGGCTGCGGAAGACATTATAAGCACTGATACTGTGCTATCAATGCCGTCAGATTTGGCGGTATCACTATCAGTGATTAATGCTCGATACCAGATTGTACTGCCTGAGCGGCAGTCCTGGATCGAAAATGAAAATTCTCTGGTTCGGGCAGACATTTGCTTGTACACAGATGGATCAAAAACGCCTGAAGGGGTAGGAGCAGGAGTATACTGCCAGACACCTCGAATTAAGCAAGCCTACAGCCTGGGTACGTACTGTACTGTATTCCAGGCGGAAGTATTTGCTATTGACATGGGTGCTAAAATCCTTCTTGAAAGAGGGGTGAAGAACATGACAGTACGAATTTTCTCAGACAGTCAAGCCGCTCTCCAGGCGCTGCAAGCCGTGAAAACGGTGTCGGCTCTGGTTAATGATTGTAAGAGAACATTAAACACACTGAGTTGTGATAACAGAGTCTCTCTGATCTGGGTCCCGGGTCACTCTGGGGTTGCTGGCAATGAAGCGGCAGATAAGCTAGCACGAGATGGCAGCGCTGAAGCGTTTGTGGGACCGGAACCAGCAGTTGGTGTATCATTTGCGATGGCCAAATATAGGATTGGACTGTGGGCTGAAGAGAGACTTCGCCTACTGTGGACCAGTTCTCCTGGAATGAGACATGCTAAGGTGTTTATTAACATCGCCACTGTCAAACCCGGGAATATTTTAGGACTTGCCCGTAGTAGCATAAAAGTTCTAATGGGTGTTTTTACTGGGCACTGCCGATTAAAAGCACACCTCAACTTGTTGGGTTTAGCCGACGATGTTGAATGCCGACTATGTGCGGAGGAAGCAGAGACAGTTGAGCATGTTTTATGCCACTGCCCTGCCGTTAACCGTATCAGATTCTCGATTTTTGGGTCGCAGTTTATCTCCTCAAAAGATCTGAATGACCTTTCGCCGAGCGAGGTATTAATGTTCGTTAAGAGCATTGGACTGCACGGTGAAATTTGATAACGATATCTATCGGGGTACAATAGATCCTTAGGGACGCGGTGCAAGGTTGGTTGGTCCGCCTACCCGATATGTATTCTATGTAATGTAAATAATACCGAAATCCCAAAGAATGTCACTAGATACACTCGAAATTTATCTTCAAAAAACCTAAATAGACTATGGACATTGCTCCGAGAGATAAACTGGAGTATGATGTATAACCCATCAATTACTTTACAAGATAAATTCAACTGGTTTCACAAGACATTCATTACAATATATAACGACGCGTGTCCCACAAGGAACATACAACAATGTAAACCAAAAAAAACATGGATAACCGACAGAATAAAACAGATGAGTGTATCACTCAAAAATCTCCATTGGACAATAAAAAATATAAACACCGCCGAAGCTAATGAATTATACGTATACAGAATGGGTAAGAGCGCAATCAAGCGCCTCGGTCACAATCTCGATCAATACTGATACAACAGAAAGGAGACTTTAACTGTTATGAACATAATCTAAAGCCTCAGCCGCAAACGATTTCGGCTAAGATCGGATAATTTTATCTTTGGCAATTGGTAATATTATACAAGGTAAACCTGTATTGTAGTTATGTTTGTATTAATATAATCCGGGTTAGCGCGTACGCAGACCCGACTAGCAAAAATTACGCGCCCGAGTTACCCGCATTAGGGGTAATCGCAGAGGTCAGCCCGACCGAAGTGCAATGGGAGGGCCTCGTTCTGGGGGAACCGCCTTATTGATCACGGTAGCCCCTACGCCAGGTAAGTATGCTCTCCATAGCCAACCAACTATCCTGCCTAAACGCTATCAAACTATCCCTTAACTAGAATAACAACGCGCCATCTGCAAACGACAAGGTCAAGTGAACCATTTTGATAACTTCTATATTTGATTATTTAATATGGTCCATAACAAAATCTGTATATAACTGGTTGTTCCATTTCTTTTCACTTTGACTATTCAAAATTATATTACGAGATTGTTTGAAACGTTGAGAAGGTCGCTTGTGGTCGAGGAACATAATCTAATGGTGGTCTTTATAGTATACTATGATGGTTCATTGTATACTATAAAGAAGACTTTAAAAGTTGTACACCAAACCTAGCGCCACAGTATGCCACAAGATTCCATATTGATAATGACCTATCTAATGTATTAGGTGAAGATGCTTGTATGTTGTATGCTGATGATACTACATTTATTAGGCGAAGCAATGCTTTGAATGCGGCTACAGCGGTACAAAGTAATAAATTGGAATTAGCTAAGGTTTGGTTCAATAGCAATATCTTGACCCTAAATGCAAGTAAGACACTTAACCTGGTCTTCACCTTGCGCACAAATGACTAGGTGGAACCTGTTCCTGATTGCAAATTTCTGGGTTTATATCTGGACTCAGGCCTTACATGAGATTAAGCTAGCCGGTAAACTGAGTTTTGCTGATTTTTTGCTGAAACAACTATCTGTCACTATCTCCACTCATGCGCTGCGAACAGTATACTTCTCACTGCTACAATTTCACATCACTTATGGACTAATAGCCTGGGACCACTCTAGTATGGCTAAGCGAATCTTTGAGATACAAAGAAGACCAATAAGAATGACGTGACAATTGTGGAGAAACTTTTAGACAGCTTAAGTATATGACGCTTCCATGTCTGTATATTCTAAAATGAATTAAATATATTACAAACAATATGAAAAAGGAGGAATTTTAAAACATATCAAAATACAGTGTACAACGGTGAATTATATCGAAATAGAAAATTCTAATTCTCCTATAATGTGCAAGTTATTTGTAATAGCATCCTTAAAATATTGGATATTGTAACGTAATGGCCAGGATTTACACATGATATGACCATATTTAATGGGTCTTATATAAAATATAAATTTGAGAACAATGTATTCCCTAATTGTTTTATACTGGAGGATAGTGGTTATGCAGCAAGTGCATACTTGGTTGAAGGTACGTGAGAAATTGTGTTGAGCGTTGTTTTGGAATTTTAAAAAAGAGATTTCCTAAAACCCAGGACAATATTAATTATAATCACTGCATGTGCAGTTTTACACAATTTCTACCTTGAAGATGTTACCACATTTGAAAAAGGAATTGGCAGCAAAGAGGACCCGGAAATGGAGTTAGAAGGGTCTTTATAAATGAATATGATCATTAAATTTGTTTTTTATTTATTTTTTTAATTCATTTTTTATTTTTTCCACTTCCAATTGTTCCCTCTCTAATTGAGCCTTCATAATTAATGTTTTAAGTTTCGCCTGTTCAAATTCCTCCCTTAAAATTTTCATTTTTAACTCGATAGTTTCACCATCTTCCTTGTTTTTTCGAAAGTCGTTTCGCTCCTGTAGGATTTTTAAATATAAATGCAATACTTTACCGCGGTGCAATACTTACTTTATCTGCAGAATTATGTTTTTTAGCATTCCTTTTAATAAATCCATACAAATCTTTAAGTTGTTTTGCATTTCTTGTTCCCGATTGCGAGTTTTGATTAAACTGTTCCGTGAGTATATCCCAAGCTTGTTTTTTTTCCATATTTGTAGAACTATCGGTTTTTTTATTTTCAATTATGGATTTGTGTTCTTTAACTAATTCAATTAACAATTTTTTATCGAAAGAAGTAAAATTTTTCGAACGTTTCTCCATATTCTGTTTTACGAATTGTTTGTTCAAAATTTTTACCGCCACCTATCGACGGGAAGAAACAAGTAACCGATTTTTAGACCAAATCACCAAACAGCCGATATCGCCCGGTTAAAAGATAGGATTGCTCCGATATGTGCCCGATATTATAATGTACGAGAAACCGGGCAGGATGCACATACAACTTATGCTCTGTTTTTAACACACACCACTCTCGTTATTCACACTATCGAGTCGATATTGCTGCTTATTAGTCAGAAACCCAACTGACCGATATCGCTCGAGTTATCGATCAGCTGTGCGATATAGGTTCGATATCTACATGCGTACGAGAAACTATGTATTATCAATCTAGCAACTCGACCACAAGCGACCTCTGCTTCAAACAATTTCGAAATATAATTTTAGATAATTATGGTGAAAAGAAATGGAATAACCAGTTATTTACAGATTTTGTTATGGACCTTATTAAATAATCAAATATAGGAGTTATCAAAGGTTCACTTAACCTTGTCGTTTGCAGATGGCGCGTTGTTATTCTAGATAAGGAGTGGTTTAATAGCGTTTAGGCAGGGTAGTTGGTTGGCTATGGAGAGCATACTTACCTGGCGTAGGGGTTACCGTGATCAATAAGGCGGTTCCCCCAGGACGAGGCCCTTCCATTGCACTTCGGTCGGGCTGACCCCTGCGATTACCCCTAATGCGGGTAACTCGGGCGCGTAATTTTTGGTAGTCGGGTCTGCGTACGCGCTATCCCGGATTATATTAATACAAACATAACTACAATAAAGGTTCACCTTGTGTAATATTACCAATGGTTAAAGATAAAATTATCTTAGATTTCTGTCTAGTCTAGAGTTTCTATTATGGACAGGATACACGAGCTAATTTTGTAAGCTAGTGTAACGGAGCTGTATTATATTAATTATTGTAATCTCAAAATAAAACAACATTTGCTCTGTTTGATAAAGGACTCCATTGTTGACTTCGGCCAGTAATGTTAAATATAAAAAAAAATTAAAATTCCGAAGAATGAAATTTATTGGTTCTCAACTACCGGTTTCGGAAAAAATTTCCGTCATCAGGTTGTTGCTAGAAAACATGTGAGTAAAAATTTTTTTTTAATTTACAAAATCATAAACATAAGAAAATTATTTACCGCCAATTAATAGTGTTAAGATTTTCTTCCACTTTTGAATTTCTCTCAGCATTGTTAAAATTACAAGAAAATTGTTACGATAAACTTTACACGTTAAAAATTTATGTTAAAATTAAAAACTCGAACAAGATCCCAAAATATCTTATATCTACAACTGTCGAAAAGGAACAGGTATGTGCAACTTTTGGATTATTCTAAGATGGAAGATTTTCGGAAAGGTTGGTAGTTGAGAACCAATAAATTTCATTCTTCGGAATTTTAATTTTTTTTTATATTTAACATCTGCTCTCGTGCAGTACTTTATTAATACTCATTTATTTCCTCCCGTCAAGGTGACTATAGCTCTGTTTTGGTTCACTTTTTTTTACACTAGTTCGTCTACATATCGCGGAACAACTCTGTTGCTGAGAGTAGACGATGATTTGACAGTTCGGTATTATGCCGCAACAATGCTTTTTATTTTTCTTACAAAAACCTTTTTGATATAGTTTATACCCTACGTAAAACACCATATCGGCGGCCAATAAGTATGCTACAAATGATGTTAGGGTGACATAATACGCCATTGAATTTTTTTTGTGAATATCTGTAGCTAACTTTTCTATATCGTCCAGTTTATGACTGGCGATATTCAATTCGGGAATGTGCTTTCCTACTTTTCTATAGTTCTCGTTTATTAGTACTGTCGATACATTTATTTTGCGTGTTCTTATTTTTTCGCAACAGTTATCAAATATCTTAAAGGGTGAAATAAAATCGCTGTACAGGGTGGGCAAATTTGGGTGTTATTATAGGCAATCTCAGAAACTATAAGAGATACAAAAAAAGTAGGTGCCATGTCCCGGTCTCTTTTTCCGAGACTAATCCAATCCCGTAAAGACCAAATCTCTATCTTCTTTTGTTTTTAAGTTATAGCCAAAAAGTCAAATTTTAGTGATTTCAAAAAATGCTCATATTTCGTTTATTTTTGAAATTATAGAAATGGGGTTAATACATTCTTAAGACACTTTTTTGAGTAGAATAAAATTTTTTAACATAGCTGATAATTTTTGAGATACAACATAAAGTTGTATTTTTTAAATACAAACTATACTGTATTATGATGTTACTGAAAAGAGCATATTTTCAGCTTTCCAATGATGTATCGCACGCATGGTGTTTCTGCGGAAAATAAGCGTTATTTTTCAATTTTTTAAATATTAAAGATTAAAATTCAAATTTTTAATTATAGTAGGCGAGGAAAACGCTAAATACTACTTAGTTACTATAGCAACGTGAGTTTACTTGTCATTTCATTCATGAATTTTGCGAAACGAGTTTCCC